TAAATGATCAGTCATGATATGAGTAAAATGACCTAAGAGATAGCATCGCAAATTGTCAAATGACCAAGTAATTGCAAGACACTCCTTTTCGGTGGTTGAATAATTTCTTTCAGCTTTGTTGAGCTGTCGACTAATAAAAGCAATGGGGTGAAAATGATCACCATATTTTTGTTCCAATACGCCACTAATGGCAAAGTCACTTGCATCTGTAGATAAGTAAAAATCTTTTTCAAAGTTCGGGAATCTCAGCACAGGATACTTAACTAACGATTCTTTGATGGATGAGAATGCATCTTCGCATTCCTGAGACCAAATAAATTCAACATTTTTCTTTGTCAAGTGGACTAAAGGAGCTGCAAGTTCAGACATTTTTGGAATGTGCCTACGATAGTAATTTGCAAAGCCTAGAAAGGCACGAACATCTTTCACAGTTTTTGGTGTTGGAAAGTCTTGAACTGCTTGCAATTTGGATATATCTGGACGAACTCCATGTTTGTCCAATATGAAACCCAAATATTTTATCTGAGTTTTCATGAATTCACATTTCGCGGGATTTAGTACAAAACGAGTTTCTTCTAATCGTGAGAATACACGGGCGAGTTTTTCTAAATGTTCGTCGTATGTTTTGCTAGCGATAAGAATATCGTCTACGTATAAGAATGCATCTATACCCTGAAGACCACTGAGTGCAATTTGCAATGCTCTATTGAGAGCAGAAGAACTTGAACGAAGACCCATTGGTACGACATTCATATGATATTTGCCGTCTCCAGCTGAAAAAGCAGTATAATGTCGAGAAGATTCATCCAAAGGAATTTGGTGGAATGAACTGAGCAAATCTAAAGTTGAGAAAACTTCACACCCAGAAAGTTGATCAATGACATCAGATGCAAATGAATGAGGAAATTTGTCATCTTTGATCTTTGAGTTGAGAAGACGTAAGTCTGATACAAGGCGATAGCCACCATTTGATTTCTTCACAAGAATGATCGGAGAGTTGTATGGTGAAACCGATGGTTCAATGATTTTTTGCTGCCAACATGCGATCTATTTCTTTCTTGACTATCTCCCGATGGGCGAATGGGAGACGATATGGTCTTTGATAAGCCGGAGTGTGATCTGTTAATTCGATGTGGTGTTTATAAACGTCTGTCTGTTTTATATCCGAGATGTCGTTTCCAAAAGCATGCCGATGTTTTTTGATGAGCTCGCGGAGCTGAGAACGAAAGGGTTCCGGGACATGTTCCAAATCAATGTCAGAGGTAGACTTGTATTCTGACGTGCTCTGAGCAGAGGTCGTCGGTTTGTTTGTGTCTGACGCAGCCAAGTCCGGCCCAGCGACCGTTTTTTGTTCCGACGAGGCGCTGACGGATGTTGGAACAGACGGCACTGTTTGGCAGTTGGCACTTGCTAAACCAGACAGAGCAAGGTCAGCGTCCTGTCTGGAGGGGAGGGGTCGGTCTGTGACCTGACCCGTGGGGGAAAGATTTGTTGGGTGGGCTTGCGCGATCCGCAGATTTTTCCTCAAAATAACTGGGTTGTTTGACGAATTGATGACACGTACCAGCGTGCCTGACTTTTCCAAGAAAATGATAGAACGGGCAACCTGAATGTCTCGGATACTTTGATCGCAATGCGCTTGGATGAGATATGGAAAATCATTTGGCTCTAGAAAACGTGGTAATTTCACGCGTACAAATTGTTCACTATAACCAGGAATTTCAACAGTTTGTTTCACGAACAATGGATATGACTTTTCGTCCTGAATAACTAATGCATGTTTTTCCGCAGTTGTGAACAATTTCGTCGTCTCGTCAGAATAAGCATCTTCTTCACCGGAATTTTCGTCGTCCTTTGTGGACAGAAGAAAGCGTACTCGTTTGCGTCTTTTTGGGCTCAAGCGCTTTGAATGCTTTTTGACTGCATTTGAAGAAAGAATTGGTTTTAGCAAGCTCACAGAACGAGTTGAAGGGTTGTAGATTAATTTGTGCGCAATGATGAAATCAATGCCAAGGATAATGTCGCAGTTGAATGACAAAGCTTTTGTTGAAATGTAAAATTTATGTTTCACCGTTTGACCAAGAATGCTAACTCTCAGATAAACTTCACCTACTATGTCAATTGGATCACCAGTAACGCCAAGAATGGAAATAGTTGGAGGTTCGTAATCTACTTTCAAATTGTTTTGTCGTAAAAATTCTTCTGATACCAAACAGATGCTGCTGCCGGTATCGTACAAGGCTGAACAAGAGTGATCTGAAATCAACACGTCTCGCAAAACTGGGGGATTTGCTGCATGGGCCTTACGATCTGAAGCAACGCTCACATACGTATCCCCTAGCGTCGTGAGCGGTACCCTTTTGGGCTCTGGTATCTCCTTGATGGTGAGGGAGATGGTGAGCGCGAATGATTCGGAGATCGAGAGTTTCTACGGTCGTAGTTTCTTGGGGACCGCGAATACCTCGGGGATCTGTTGCGGTAGCGAGAGTAGGACCGGCTTGGCCGATCACAGCACGAATGATGTCCATGGCAAGAAGAGTCGCGGTGGTGACGGTCTGATGATGGAGGGTCGCTTTCATGCCTCCTGTGGAAGGGCCGTTGATTTCTAAAATTTTGCTGAGAAGGGTGACGGCCTCTACCGCGACCTCTACGCTGAGTTCTACCGCCACGGTTTGGTGACATATTTTGGGCCACCGACAGTTCCAAACTTGCAATTCTTTTATGGATGTCTGCCAAATTTTTGTCGGGTTGAGTTGCGGCTGATGCAGCGCTGTCGACGGGGTCGGATGAAAAAGAGGCGCTGATCTCCTGCGATCTCGCTAGCGTAATGGCTGTTTCAAAATCCGGAGGGTTGAATGGGAGCACATGCTGACGAATTTTGGGTTGAAGACCTTTGATGAATGTCGCCGTAACTGTTTTGTTTTTCAATTCTTTTGTTTCCGTCGAAATGTCCCATTCCGTTAAGCCTTTAGACTTTTGTCGGATTCGAGTTGCGTATGCATCGACTGTTTCGGAAGGTTGTTGTACGCAGGTCATTAGGTCCTGCAGTCGAACTGACACAGGCCTATCAGTATGTAGGGCAGATATCAAACGGGTAGAAAAGTCATCAAAAGTTTCGGCATGGTTTAAATCATGTCGGTTTCTCACCATTTCGGCTACCGACCCTTGTAGCTTGGATTTTGTGACTTTCAAAGTGATTTTATCAGGCCAAGATCCTAGATGAGCAGTTTCACGAATTTCTTGTAAAAAGTCCTGAATGGGATAGCTTCCGTCATAGTTGTTGACTAATGATGCCAAAGAGTGAATATTGAAAGTAATTGCCGATCCAGATCCAGAAGCACTTTCCATGACAGGCATTGTTGAAAAAAAAAAAAATATCACGAACTAAGTAAATAATAAAACGAAGGTTCAAATATCAAGCAAATAGCAACCAAATACAAGCCAATTATAATTTTAAAGTAAGGACTCACCTTTTGCCGAAAGTCTCCACCACCGCTGCCACCAATGTTGGACGGCGAAAGGCCGCCCTCGGAGACGGGTCCGGCACTGCGTCCGGCAAAGACGGTGGCGGAGAAGTGAGTGGTGTATTTACAGAAACATAGGTTTTTATGGGGTGTCGGGACGCCGTCACGTGACCGGGTGGCCGTCGGCCAAGAGCCGACGGTCCCGTGTTGCTGGGCGCCCCAGACACCCAGACAGAAGACCAGACGGGTAAAAAGAGAGGTTAGAAGAGATATGGTATTGGGGCCTCCATCCGGGAGTGGGAGGCCATGATTTCCTTCTCCACACTAGGGCGTCACCTCTCCGCACTGCCACCACGTCTCACGGCGAAATGACGGACGAGCGGCGGCCAGTGGGCCGTGAGGGGTCGACCAGTGTCCCCGACAGCTGCCCGGTGTGGCGCCCACACCCACACCGGGACAGCCGGTATATCAGCAGAGCACGCAGAGCCGGCACTGGCAGTCCAGCGGCCAGCAGCCCTCCGACACCAGGTGAGAGAACAGGTGCCGACGGGCGACGGGACTCGGGTTCGAAGGAGGGTGTGCATTTCAGATAATGAATTACTGGTCTGCTCGACAGCTTAGCTATGTAACTTTGTCAAAACGAATTGCTATATGTAGTATACGAAGCAGTATTGAAAACTACATATTCTTGGTTTAAATAATATTGGATTTATATGAATTCACGGCGAGCATACGGTGTCATTTGAGGCGCCGCTCGGTCAGGAAGGGTGTGTGTGTCTGGATTACGCACGACATGCAGCCTACTCCGCAGGGTATGCTGCGCCGCAGGCCCGCAACACCCGTGTGACCCGGCGCAGTATCTGTCCAGGCGCACGGTAGTGCTGCCATCTATGGGCAGAATTGTAGCGAGTTGCGCTGTCCTGGCGAGTATGCTGCACCGCAACATGCGAGTTATGCGGCACAGTATCTGTCCAGGCGCTCAATAGTGCTGCCATCTATGGGGGGAGTTTTAACGAGCGGGCAGCACCGCACCTGCCTCGACTTCGAAGGTGATATAAAGAGGACAGTTACTTTTCGGGTAAAAATGTCTTCTTATCTTTTAAAAGCTGCTTACCTTCCAAACAATGAATAAATAGACATAGCCAGTTGAAAGACGCACGAAGAGGCACCTTGCAACTTGCATACAGTGAAACAGGAACTGACAGCTGCCTGCTACAATAGTGACAGGTTCGGGCAACGTTTATCCGTTACCGTATTTATGTAACCAATCACTTCCAACAGGTACACAGTCACCATGGAACTGTCCATCACCGTCGTCTTTATGACCGTGGCCGTTCTACACCATGCCGGCGCCTTCGAGCGTCAGTATTCAGGTTAGTAGCTGGTTTTGGAGATTTGGAGGCAGTCGCTCAATTGATTCATTTCCCAAGCAAATGTTAACTGTACCATGAAAGTGCAACGTTGCCCCGTCTGCCTTTCGTCAGGACACCAAGCTCATCACTCACCGCCCTTCTGCCTCTTCCCGTCCACAGTGTGGTCCGGCCAGGACTGCGGCGTCCCCTGCTGGTCCGGGCCGCCGGCCCCGCGACCGCTGCCCTCCGTCCGTCTCTCGGTACCGGCCGTCTTCCCGCCGCCCGACCTCTCGGCGGCGGCGGCAGGCTCAGCTGACGAGCGGACCGAGCCGGCCGCCGGCGGTGACCCGGTGACCTCTGGACGGCCCGGGGCGACGGCAGGGGTCGAGACCAAACGCAGCCCAGCGGCGCAGTACACGCACTACCCGGCCCGGTTTCAGAGCGAACAGTATAAGGTGGGTCACTGCTGGGCGATGTATTTGGTGATAGGTAGAATGTTTTGTGCTCATATATCATAGCGTTTGCGAAAAGAAATAAGCTGGAAAGCTAGTGTTGTGTTCTTATCATTACCTTTCAAACGTAAGAAGTGACTCAAGCTAACGTCGTGTCGCAACTCGCAAGATACATAAATTTAATCCTCTCCTTCTCTTGCTCTTCTTTAAGTCATTGGGGTTCCGAAAGAGCACTGTAGCAAGAACATCATATTTCTCCTGACTCCGCAGACATTGACCCCGTCGAACCCGAAGCACATCATCGTTTATAGTCCCCTTGCCATAGCAGCGTAGCTCACTCTACTCCAAAACTTATCCTCGATATCCATCTTTTTCAGGTGTGTCAGCCGTCGTCTGGCCAGATCGTGCAGTTTCTGCGGGCGCTGCACGCCGCCCGCCGGGGAGAGTCCAACCAACTGGCCACGCTCTGTGGCACCACGCGGCCCGTGGACGGCATTCAGACCAACATGAGGTTCTTCGGGTGAGACATCGGTGACCGGCATCCAGGCCAACCTGAGATTCTTCGGGAGAGGCAACGCCTCGACCACGGAACACCAGATCGAACCACCGAGATCCCATACAGCTCCCCTGATTATGCTCAAGTTAATCAGCTTGCATATATGCCGATTGATTGTTGAAAATGTTAACTTGAAAGCTTGGGCCAATGCTGACATCACGGCACTTGGCATCTGATCTGATACAATGGATGAGCACCGTACCGACTTTAGGACGGGTGGATTACGACGTTTGATGATATAGATCTGGATCTCTCAAAAGGTAACAAACATTGTTGCACTGCCTTCTTTTTTTTTTGATAGGGACTAAGCTGGTCCCACCCTGCAAGTAAAGGGAAGAAATTTCTTGAACACCATAAAGCTGCGGGTGTTGCGACCAGGATAAATGGTGGTTTCTGAGCCTGGCCGCAAACTTGGCTATCTCAACTCAAAACTAATGTTAAGGTGGGATGGTCCCTTTAAATAATTTTAAATACTTTTTCGCGAATTGTGCACTTCTGGCACCAGTTTTAAAAAGAAAATGAAAAATAATAATGTCAAAATGAAAAACAACGATATCTTCATATTTCACGAAGGTGGCCCTTTTCCTTTAAAACACTTTGGATTATGGGGCTGCGGATTCCGGCGAGGGGGGGAGGCAGGGCATGTGCACTTGCAGACGTTGAAAATCCCAAGGTGTGCAAACTGCAAACACTAATTTTTGCACATCCACATTTCATTGCAGGCTCATGCGGGCTAATAAGGGCTCTCACAGGCGCTTGCTTGTCTGAGCCCGATGCTCGAGGGCCCCAGCCCGAGCCTGATGGCCCCGCACCGGAACTTTAAGTCCTAAACAGGTACAGTCCACAGCAGAAGTAATGTGTGGTTTCAGTCATGGGTATGTTCTGCTTCTGAAGCCTAGGAACGATTAGCCAGACTGCAACGAGACTTTAAATGTAGCTTACATGTATCTTCACCCTTGCAGCTACAACTTTGTCTATTGACGTCTTCTTTTCAATCAGTCCGCATTTAAAAATCGTCGGTCAAAGCCATCCGTTGAGATTGGTAAAACCACACATTACTTTAGCGGTGGGCTGTACGTGCGGGTGTTATCTTGCAGGTTATCTCAGGGCCCCATGGGCCAGTATCGAAAGGCTCTCGCCGGCTCTTAAGGGCCCCAGCCCCCTTAGGTCTCTTGGGGCCGAAGTCTGAGGGCCCCGCACCGGTACCTAAAAGCCCAGTTATCCCAGCTGGCCCCACGCCAGTTTCGCTCTGGAGTGGTGAGGATGACCCGGATACCATTTACTGAAATGGATAGGTCATCTGAGGTCAAATATGGTAAAAAGTAGTTTTTCCACGATATAATGGTGCTTAAAACTAGTAAATAGTGTGGTACCAAACTGTCATGACATGTCGATCGCTAGGTGCAAAAAGACCTGCTTGGGTCAAGACAAGACCTGACCTTGACGTGGGTCGAATAGTGAAAGTGACCTACCGACTACCGAGGCCTATCAAATACATATTTCGAACCATCTCGACGGAAAAAGGATGGTACAAATTTTATGTCTAACGAGTTCAAAACGATTAAGCTAAAACGGTCGGAGCTTGGGCGGGGAAGCTACCCCGCCTGCCCCCCCCCCCCATCCCCGTGGCGACGATAATGATTGAAGCCCAGAGGCTTTGCCTGTAAGCGTATTAAGTTGAATTATCGGGCTGCAAATGTAGGTACAGGTAATCGGTCGGCTGCCATTAACCCGCGCTGGGGGTGGGAAGGGGGGGGGGACTCTACAGAGAACTCCCCTCGCTTTTCTGCAACATCTTCTAAACGACTGGGCGTATCCATGCACACGAATTTGCAGTAGGGTGAAGTCGTATAAGAGTACGCACTTAGTGGATTTCTTGCTCTCATTTGTTTAATATTTGAAGGAAAGAACTCGCAAATAGGGAATATTAAAGTTCATTGAATTAGCCATCAACCCATGGGGCAACGATCCTTCAGCGTAAATGGAAGTGGTCTAAAACCGACATTTTCTGAACCGTTGCACTTGCGTACTCTTACCATATGGGGTGTGTAAGAGTACGCACGCCAGGCGGGTGGAGTACGCAAGCATATGAACACACACCTATGCAGCTTGCACTGTCCAAATGCTTAACTTCAAACTTAGAATGCATTTAAGTTAATTCTAGTATCCAAAAAGAAAAACATAAAATAAATCTTTCAAGTCTATAAATCAGGAAATAATCATGTCGTGTGTTTCTTTTAAAAAATGCACAATCAAAAAGGAGAATAACTCGTATTTGGAAGAATTTCGGGTACGCATCTGCATCACAGTGCTCCATTGATGATATACCTTCTAAACAAACGTCGTTGAGCGATAGATTAATAATTCTATATTTCTGTATATTCGATTTAATGTATAATTCTGCGTACTCTTACCCTCCTGAACAGTGCGTCCTCTTACCGTACCTGCAATTCGCGCACAAAACAACCCCGAAACTTTGTGCAAAACTTCGCAAACAGAATATTGCACTGTACAGTATTTCCCCAGATAACCTAACAAGTTTCCCACAACAATCACGGAAATGTACCTTATCTCAACTGCCAAGTATCAAAATTATTGTACCATATCATAATAATATCATAACGCTCGAAAATAATATTCATCGCCTTAAACTCAACAGCGTCGCCGCTCAACGCCCACGTTCCGTTGGTGACATGCACGCACTGACGGCTTCATGTCACTTCATGAACTCGACAAACCCGCGTTGCTAAGCAACCGAAACAGCTGATGCGTACTCTTATCGCCCGCGTACTCTTACCCGCCCTTACCCTACCTACTACCTTGAACCTTCGGCTCCATCACTTTGACACCTCGTGTTCCAATGAAAATTTTTTCGCTTCTCATAGGTCAACCGGAAATAACGTCAGAGTGACGTCATGTTCGGTCAATTTCGATGCAAAACATTCAGCTACGGTAATCGCTCCCAAGAGCTTAGTTTCTTAACTAAATCATTTTTCTTAGGTGTTGATTTTTATCCGCTGGGACTGAGAGCGTGAGATGATGTCCCCGTATAGCCCAAATCTTTAACGAGCTTGCAAAAGATGACTGATGTCATCACTGTCAACCGTGGAAGCCAAATGGCTACCCATCTACGCTGGAGTACGAAAAACATCATCTCACTAAATCATTTTTCTTAGATGAGAGAACTCAGAATACATACGGATCTGTAGGGTAAGGTGCCTAATTAGCGACCCCCTTAATTTGAACCGTCATTGCTCACGCTCTATGGGTGCCACTGTATTACTGGCTTGATCTTCGAAGAGATCGTACATTTTGCTATTAAAATCCATTCATTTTCTGCACCAATATCCACTTATTTATTTGCACTGAGCATTTTGGCAAACTATTGCAATATAGGGAACTCGTCCCGATTAACGACCACGGTGAGGGTCGCTGAGGGTCTATGGGTTTCCCCATAATAAAAATGGCAAAAAAAAAAATGCGATGCCTGCAAATTTGCAATATGGTTCCAAACAGGCAACTTATACGCAAAGCACTCAATCATTGGAACAGGAGCGTTTGTCCAACGCCTTTATGAAGGTGAAAACTGATCACGTGATGCACCAAAGGCAAAAATAAGGCGAAAACCCATATATCGCGGGCTGTCTCGCATGATATTCGAGGCCCGCCCTGGATTCGGCATCGGCACCCCTGCAGTCGGTGACGACAGTTGGTATCACCCGCACACATCGCAAACTTCAGCAACACCTCATTTTAATTTCTGTCTGTTTCCTTTCTTTCCCTTCTTGAGCTATTTGCGACCGTGTTGGGCGCAAATAGGAAATATGGGTTGCGACACATTTTTGACTACCATGCAGTGCACAGTAACAAGATTCAATACGGGAAAACGGCAATCAATTGGAAAAGGATTGTCGATTTAGAATAAAAAAGGTGCATTATCTTAATGTGCATCACTTTTCATCAGATAGGGTCCAAATGCACACGTTTTGGATAAGAAACTGGCCATTTTCGTCGCAACTCCCCTAAAACGTTCACCAGAAGCACCAACAACCGGAAAAGAATTTAGTTTGGTAACCAAAGTATGGCAGACCTTTTGACATTGTTTTTACCCCGATTTATCTTCCCAGCTTTTCTGTAGGGAGGTAGGTCGCAAATAGGAAAGGGTGCTAATTAGGCACCTTACCCTACAGTGGGGGAAGCCGGGGGAAGCCCGGCATAATAAGCTCTTGTTGATACCCTGTTAGCTTGATAAGTTAACTGGCCGTGTTGTCCCAAACACGGTTGCCTGGCCGTGTTGTTTACGTTTTTTTTTTTTAGATTTCACCTCTGTCGATCGTCCCCCCCAGTCAAAAATCCGTGGCGACGCCCCTGCCTGCAGCCTCAACGAATAACTTCTAGTAAAGTTATCCATCAAACCAAATACCATCGACCTCCTAACCTTTCGGTAATGCCACCAGGCGCCAACAGCTAACAGCTCTGTCCGCAATTCATTGCTTTAAGTGCATCTGTACCCAGGGCCTATTTTAAGACAATTGGACTGGGGTGGCCAGGCAGTGGTGGCCAGGGGCGGATCCAGGAAAACTCCAAGCGGGAGGGTCATGAATCGAAGTGGTGCCCCTACCTATACCCAAAATTAAAAACTCAACGGATTTCGTCCACTTCATTTTGGTGGTGCCCCCATTTTCAGTTTTTTATTTTTATTTTTATTTTTAGTCAGTATCTTAACTCTTAGCCACAACCACATTTACCAATTGTAAGCAAGTATATATGAATGTGCTATGTGCATAGATGCTATGTGTATATATGTTGTGGACGCTGAGTAGTGAGTACTTACCAGGAACGTTATCAGGTAAGCAAATCGTTGTCAGTCCGACGAACTTGACCCTGGCGTCTAAAGGGTCTGTCCTTGACACTTCAGGCTTGTCAGGGGCACCAAAGTCCTTCCAGGGACACCACAAACCTTTCAGGGGCACCTACGGCCTTGTAGGGGCGCCACAGGCCCGCCAGGGGCACCACAGGCCTGCCAGGAAGTAGGGGCACCACAGGTCTAGCAAGTATACACGACAGGCCTGTCAGGGGCACAACGGACCTGTTGGGCCCATGAGCACCCCTAGGGGCAGGGGCACCACAGTCCTTCCAGGGGCACCGCAGGCCTGTGAGGGGCACCAGCGGCCTAGCAGGGGCACCAGTCAACACAGGCCTGCCAGGGGCACCACAGACCTGCAAGGGGCACCAGAGGTCTGCCAGGAGCACCACCGACCTCGCAGGGGTAACTTGGGCCTGTCAGGGGCCAGGGGCACCACGGGCCTGTCAAGAGGCACTTCAGGCTTTTCAGGGGCACCATAGTCCTCTCCGGGCGCAGGGGTAGCAGGGGCACCAGAGGCCTGCCAGGGGCACTACAGGCCTAGCAAGGGCACCACTGGTCTATCAGGGGCACCACGAGCCTGTCATAGCCAGGCATCTCAGGCTTGTCAAAGCCCAGGGGCACCACAGGTCTGTGAGGGGCACCAGCGACCTAGCAGGGGCACCAGTCAACACAGGTCTGCCAGGGGCGCCACAGACCTGCCAGGGGCACCACAGACCTGCCAGGGGCACCAGAGGTCTGCTAGGGGCACCACCGGCCTCGCAGGGGCACCTTGGGCCTGTCAGGGGCACCACGGGCCTGCCGAGGGGCACTTCAGACTTTTCAGGGGCACCAGTCCTCTCCGGGCGCAGGGGTACCAGCGGCCTAGCAAGGGCACCAGAGGCCTGCCAGGGGCACCAGCGGCCTAGCAAGGGCACCAGAGGCCTGCCAGGGGCACCACAGGCCTAACAAGGGCACCACGGGCCTGTTAGGGGCACCTCAGGCTTGTCAGGGCCCAGGGACACCACAGTCCTTCCAAGGGCACCGCAAGCCTGTCAGGGGCACCAGAGGCCTGCCAGGGGCACCACAGGCCTAGCAAGGGCACCACTGGCCTGTCAGGGACACTTCAGGCTTGTCAGGGCCCAGGGGCACCACAGTCCTTCCAGGGGCATTACAAGCCTGTCAGGGGCACCAGAGGCCTAGCAAGGGCACCACAGGCCTGCCATGGACACCACAGGCCTGCCAGGGGCACCACCGCCCTTGCAGGGGCGCCTCAGGCCTGTCAGGGGCACCACGTGCCTACCGGGGACACTTCAGGCTTGTCAGGGGCGTTACAGTCCTGTCAGGGCCCAGGGGCACCAGGCCCGTGGTGTCCCTGCTAGGCCTGTGGTGCCCCTGGCGGTCCTGTGGTGCCCCTGTCAGGACTGTGATACCCCTGATAGGCCGGTGGTGCCCCTGGCAGGTCTTTGGGCCCCCGGGCCTCAAGGGGGGGCCATGACCCATGTGACCCCCCCCCCCCTTGGATCCGCCCCTGGTGGTGGCGCCCCTGTCTCTTGTGTTGGCGCCCCCCCCCCCCACCGAAATACTGCTGTGCGCAGCATTTCGATGGGGGGGGGGGGGCGTCGCAATCGAGTCTCAGAATCTTTTCTTTGTGACGGTAGTACGTAAGGACTAACGTTTCGGGAAAGTGTCTGGAGGCCTTTGTTGGCATAGTTTTTTTTTCTAACATAGCCCTTTCGGGCGATGCATGGAAAGAATTAAGCCAAAAGTCGGCTGTGCATGGTGCAACCCCCTTTCGTCAGAGAACTTTTACTGCTTATGCCGATGGCCCTCAAATTCCCCCCCCCCCGATCCGTCCATGATAAACACCTTCCCATACCAAGCAGCCGGCGTCACTCGAGGTCACTTTATCTTGAAATTTCGATATCGATGACCTAAGGTCAGGTCAATTTTTCGACCTCTCCATTAGGTATAAGTCAATGGGAGAAAATTGAAAAGCGCCTCTTTTAGACGAACGCCATTCTAAACATTTTCAAACACTAAATTACGAGTTAACATGACACGCTGAACCAGAAAATGGCACCCGTGACCCCTCGTTATGCCCCCGAGGTCATATCAGGTCACGAATGGTATCTAACAGTTTTTCGCTAATAACTTCTGATAGAGGCAAGCTAGAGCGATGAAAACGCCTTAGATGTGTTCGGCTCGACGTTGCGGATCGACTGATATGCAGCACGACCTTTTCCGGTCAGGTCATTACCTTGACCTGTAGTCAAATTTTCAAGTTGACCTTTCAAGGTCAAATTATAGTTCATTCGACGCGTCTAGACGAGAGGAACACCATGCTGGCAAAAATACTGTCGTGTCTCTCTTGAGTCAAAAGTTATTGAAGAAAACGAAGTTTTTGCACTCTGGAGGCTAAACCGTTGACCTGAGGTCAAACCTGAGAACATTATTCAGAAAGCCCTGTAAAAGAGCTATCGATTGCGCTTTTCCGCGGCGCTGTAGCTCTATTGGTTCCCGAGTTGTCCGTCGGCAGTTTCGAAAAATGTTGAAATAACAAAATTTGACCTTTGATGACCTTTGGTGACCTGACCTTTGACCTGACCTAAAAAAATAACAAGTGGGTATTTTCGTCATGGTTTTTGACGTCCTTTCGGATGCCGCTTACCGCGTGTCGCTACTTGGCCCAGGAGCCGACTTAGAAGGGGGGTGTTCAAATCCCCGCCCCCCCCCCCCCAGCAGGGCGTGGAAATCCAGGACCCCCAGTGGGGCGCGGGTTAAACCGCCGCCCGCCAGATTTTTCTCTTGGAAATACCCTCGTCAGAAGCAATGCGTGCACGTGCGTTTGAAAATCCATTGTTGATCACACGGCCTGTCTCATAGCCACATGACAAATTTAATTTTGCGGCCGATACTGATAGGGCTCCCAAAGGTGCAGTTGGCGCCCCAGTAGTGGTGTGGCGCCCCAATCGTGTCTGGGCGCCCGAATGTTGATAGGGCTCTTCAGTCGTGGTAGGCGCCCAAGTGCTGGTAGGGCGCCCCATTGCCGGTAGTGTGTCCCAATCGAATTAGAGAGTCCCATAGCTCAGTTGGTAGAGCACCGGACTCCCGGTAGTGAGAGCCCGGGTTCGAGTCGCTCCGGTGCTCGATATTTGAGACTCCTGACGGGGATGGTCTGCGGTTGGTGGGAGCAGCCGCAGCCAGTTGAAGTCAGTTGAGTGGGACAGGTTGTGTCCGGCTTTGAAGGGCACGTTAAACTTAGGCATCTAAATTATTCCGTTACCCGGAATTGCGCGATCAGACAGTAGGGGTCGGGGTCTACGCAACAAGCTCTGCTTAGCGTGGGCTCCGGCTCTGTCAATCCGTCCATTCAAACATTCAAGCTAAATTTATAAAAAAGTAGGGCGCCACAGTTGCGGCAGGGCGCCCCCAGTAGTGAGAGGGCATCCCATTGGTGGTGGTGGCGCCTCAGTGAGCCCTTTTCCCCCTGTCAAGCTGAGTTCGCCCCAAGAATGTGTCGCCTCCGTGATTGTCGGCAGCCAATATCTGTGGGCAGACTTTTGGGCTGTTTTGCACTGGGGTGGCAAAGCAAGACGACTGGGGTGGAAAACCGCACCACTGGGGTGGGTTTTGCCACCCCAGTTAACATGTTAAAATAGGCCCTGTCTGTACCGGCCGAGCAACGAGTTGCCACGCGGCGCGCAGCCGGCGGCAAGTGCAGCTGCACCTAGCGAGCGAAGAGCTAGCACGCGGCGCGCCGATTTGGCGCGCTTTTGGTTCCCGCGCTTTCCTGCTATTTGGCGGGAGACAGCTAGTGGCGGCGGCGGCGGCGGCGGTGGGAGCACAGAGCAGCCACCGGCAGTCGGCTCTGGTTGTTAATAAATATAAGCGGGATCCACTGTATAATACCTAGTGGCGTCATATTACCTAGTGACGTCACATCGTGAAGATGTGCCGCTAAACACGACGCATTCGCCACCTGTCAAGCAAGCCTAAAACTAATAGTTTATAACACATATGCCAGGTGGCGCTACTGAGTCTCTTGAGTGGCTCCATCTTTTCTGTATTGTTTTGGATGATACGATTCTGGATGTTGCATGCTTGGATGTTTCGCTCTTGGATGAACCGTCTTTGGATGATACGATTCTCAGATATTCTCGTGCTGCCATTTTGGATGATACGGTTTTGGATTCTGCATCCTTGGATGTTTCGCTCTTGGATGCTCTGAATGCTCCCAAAAGGGCCGATTTTGGATGTTATTTGGAGGTTTTGATCACTGGATGCTGCGGTTTTGGTTGTTGCGTATTTTGGATGCTGCGCTCTTGGATGCTTTAATAGTCCCCCGCGCCAGCATTTTTTTTGTAACGGCAATTTCGAAGTTAGGCTTCAGCAAGTTACGATCAATTGCCACTTTACCGATTTTAGGTCACTGGGGAAGTTTCGTATTGCGAAATTTTGTTATTGGAAACGAGCTACTACGGACGTAAGTAAGCATTCAATTCAATGCATATCATGATACCAGGGGGTCATTTCGTTACGCGAAAATATATCAATGCATATCATGTGCGTTTCATGTGGTTTTACTTACAGTGTGTATGTAGGCAGGCAAGCTCTTATTTATTGAACTTTGAAAGATGCGATATTTTTAATTTAAAAGTTAAGACGAGTGTCCAACATTGCATGTAAAACTGATTTTGTTTCTGCATGGTTATTTCTCCAATAATGTTCAATTTATTTTAATTTTCATTTTCTTTCCACAGTATGCCTCCCAAGAAAAAGACAGTACGAGGTTCCCGAAGTGCTGCAGTACATGGGAACAGTACAGTCGCACCTACAGCCGGGCCAGGCAGTGGGGATGGCAGCCTGCCATTGTTGCCATCCACCTTCCATGAAGCTGTGGAGCAGCTGGTGGAGCTAGTGCGGGGTGTTGTCGATGACACAGTCACCATGTTCAAGCTGGAGATGGCCAATGTGCCAGTCACACAAGGTGTGACAGATGTGGTGGCAGGTCTATCTGCAAAAACCCAGCAGGAGCTGTGTGGTGTGGTGCCTCTATGCGAGGTGCGACCAACTGACCTGCCAGCCAATGGCTGCTCCAGCCTCTTTGACCAGCGCCAGTATGCTGAGGCACTGCTGCACGCTGTGCGCGCCCACTTTGCCTTTGTAAAGTTTGACAGCCGACTGATCTACACAAGCACCGCCGGAGTGCGGGACCCGACGGCGGTGTCACAGCTGCTGTACGTCTTCAGCTACGTGAAGTCGGCTCCGGCCCGGGCCGAGGCCCCGGCAGCCGTCAGTGCCGCGGCTGGGCTGCCGGAGGGCCGCGGGGCCGCCAACCGGCGCCGGACGGTGGCAGTGCTGCCGCGGGCCGCCGAGAACGACGAGCCGCCGGCGGGCTCCATCGGAGACGAGCTGGAGCGGTTCCGAGACAAGCTGGACCGGGTGGAGCGCAGTCTGCTGGAGGCATCCCAGTCGCTGGCCGACGAGGACATGCGCCTCCCGGAGACGGCGCTCGACTCCAGTCTGGAGGACGTGCCGACACCGGCGCTCGGCACGGCCCTGCACACCGTCCTGCCGCGAGTCCAGGCCGCGGCCGCCGCCAAACGTACCGCCGCCGCCGCCAAGCGCACCACCGCTGCCAAGCAGAAGCCACCGCGCGGCGCCGTCACCCACGAGGAGGCGGTCGCTGCGTCCGCCGCACGCGCTGTCGCCGCCGCTGCTCCTCCCGCTCGTGCCTCGCGCACCGCTCCCACTCGCGCTCCCCGCGCGGCGCCCGCCACTGCCAGGCGCGGTAAACGCAACCGCTCGCTCACTCCGACTCCGATGGAGGTGGAGACTACGGACAACGGCGCGGCGCCTACCGTTCCGGAGCCGGAGCCGGCAGCCGGTCCGCCGAGCCCCTCCCGCCAGACGGCCGGCCACCTGCCGCAGCCCGAGTCCGACCAGCTGGTGGCCTTCTTCCAGAAGCTGAACGGCTCCCAGACGGAGCAGAGCCGCGTCTCGCTCACCTGCCGCTATGCCAAGATGCGCTACGGCCACGACGTGTCCTCGGGCGTGGTGTACCGGCTGGTGGAGGCCGCGCGCCGCCGCGGGGCCGGCCCGGCTGCCGCCGCCGCCGAGCCGGCGCCGCTGTCGGAGGAGGGCCGACGCCAAGCGGCGCTGGCCGTGTACGCCGAGCTGGACCCGGGCCACAGCGAGCAGTCGCGCGTCGCCTACACCCTGCAGTACATGCGTGTCCAGCACGCCGTCCGGCTGGAGGCCAACACGCTGTTCGGCTGGCTCGGCCAGGGCGCCAAGAAACCGACCGCCAAGAGGGCCAGGGTGCGGTAGTGCGGACTGACGAGCGAACAGCCCATCGCCAGAGACGGGTCACCCGGGATGATGGACAGAGATTATGGCTTCGGAAAGCAAGGGAATACGTTTTATAAACTGGCTTGTGCTTCGGATCTTCGGCTTCGGAAGGCAAGGGAATACGTTTTATAAACTGGCTTGTGCTTTGAAGGAGAGCTTTTAGGACTGCGATGCTTTCAGCTGATGACAAGTTTTAAACGTGCGGGCTCACTGTTGCTGGATAAAAGAACAGAATTCGAAACTCCCGTTCGGCAGTGGTGTGGTGGGTGTTTGTTGTACATTCGTCACCCGTATCTTAAAGTGCCGTGTTGTTGCAATTGTTCGGCTTCAATAGTGTCATGTTGTGCAGTGCACTGTTTTAACACCGTTCCACGCATACTAGTTTCGCTTTACTCACCTTTACCATGTTGCGGTCAACTGTGACTGGAGTGCATCCCCTCTGGTATCGATTCGTTGACTTTGATGTTCCAGTTCGTCGTCGTGTCACATGCGAAGCTGCTACGTTATTTCGCCTACCATTTGGCACTAGTTTTATTCATAGTTTTTGCAAGTTCCATCACTTATTTCACATAGCTTTTGAACATTTCTGAAATCGCGTGCAGGCGTGCTTGATACTAGTATTTTGCGCTTTCATTTATGCATTGCATCATTTACGCAGTCAGTGGACTGCAATGGAAGTATTGATGTACCTGCCAGGCGAAGCCTTGTTGGAAAAAAATACGTTTTAATGTTATGATTCGTTTGTTTTCTGCCTTGGGTCCGAGGCAAGATTACTGATTACTTAACTAATAACCCGACGTACCAGTGTAAAATCATTCACCGGCTCAATCGAACATCTGGCTGTTTCCCGTTGGGCGCGCGACTAGTGCGTCGTGTTGCGGATCACGTCGCTATCTCAGTGGGCTTAGGCCGTTTCATATGTCCATATGTATTCATGTGGTCAACAGGGAGCGAGACTGATCGAACTGAGCAACGTCAATGGGTCACGCTGCTGTCCCCTGCATCAACAAATGGCAGCAAATCGCAGTCTGGCTGAAAGTAGGTGCCTGAGGGCGAGCTGCTGCAAGCATTTTGCCGGTTTCCTGTCCCATCTTGAGGCAGATTACGGACCGGTGGAGTAGACACCAGCCTCCTCCGAATAAGATTCAGTTGAAGGCAATATATCTCCGACCGGCGGAGACAGTCGGGGACGGGGCGGTCGCGCCCATCCCCATGGAGCAGGAGTCGCCAGGATAGGGGAGTTAGGGGCGGAACGGCTTCGTTTAGCCGACCAGGCTTTGGGAAAATGCGGTCGCTGTTCCTCCTCATGACGCGCGGAGCCTTCACGCCTCAGTCAGGATCGAATTCCCTGTTCCGAGCTGGGCGGTTACCCTATCCGACCTGAGTAGGCCTGTTGAGATAGGTCCTACTCCTCTACGATGGGTGGGTTGGCTGCAGTAGCGGCGGAACACCTTTAATTAAGGGGGGCCGGGGGGGGGCACTGCCGACTTTTGGTCCCATTCTTTCAATCCAACGCCCATAGGGCCAATGTTAGAATGCCAAAATCAGAGGGGGGCACGGTGCCCTCCCCATTCCGCCGCCCCTTCATGTGCAGGGCGTACGGGTCAGTACAGAATCTCGAATATAGGCACCTGATGTGTCATGATGTGATGTGTATTTAGGGCCTTGGATGTGCCCTCTCCCAAAGTTTCTCTGTCCTGTATTGTCCTGTATTTAGACTTTAGAGCCTTGCTCTGCCCTCTGCGGTAGACGTGAAAATGCTACTTTGATAATTTATCGCTAGATGGCGGGACTGAAAACCTCACATAATTTTTTTTACAATTCTGACGAGGGTGAGACTTTTCATTAATGCTCAATAGCAATAATTGCTGCTACCAGCGCTCGATTTAACAGATGTCCACGAATCACTTCTGGCAAACGCGTTGTTGAAATTAAATGGCAGCAAGAACTGAATACAATTTAAGTTTTTTAGCAAAGGTTCAGCACGCTGCGATGCTCGACAAATTGTTGTGCAATCGAAACGTTGCAGATGGTGGATGGAAGTGTGGTGCGTTATGCAGCTTCAGTTCTTTGGGTGTATTTTCCAAATTTTCTTGAATTAATAGGGCGTGGAATTTGATAGCATGTTACGAGCCTGTGAGCTATAGCACGGACGTCAGTTCTGAAGATTGCCTATTGGTGGGGCTCTTTTATATGGCTAATTCCAGGAATCAGGATATCAAGCTTCAAAGCCATTCTTGTAAATTTTCCCAGCATTAGTTTTTGATAGTCGAGAACAAGTTTTGTAAATTATTTATTCATGGATGGCTCCCTACTATGGGTGGGACCTGTGGCTTAAGCTGATAAAATTGGAAGACCTGACGGTTAGCACACATAATTCAAATTTGAAATAGGCAATTCAATTCAAAATCAAATTTCAGTCAAGCAATATTGTTTGTTCATAAACTGTTGTTGCATTATTCCTTATATTATGAAGCTGCATTTCATGCTCATTGGCTTCAGCCTTCAACTGTCAAAATGGTATTTAGGGGTCTGTGATGCTGCTGCACATTGGAATTGTTTTTTGACATTTTGTTATTAATCATCACTTACTCATCTCAATTGCTTATATTTTTCACCATTTTTTTTGTGGTGGCTTCCTTATAAGTTAGCTCCATGAAGCTATGAAGTAGGTAGATCCTGAACATGATTTTTTTTTTTGGATAGGTTAAGGTCTTAACATCAGATTTGAATTATGAACAGTGGCAGCCTATCTTGCTTACTTGAGTGCTAACTGCTTAAGTATCTCCTCAGATTCTGAAGCTTCATACTACTCTAATGGCCCATGAAGCAACAAAACCATGTGCACTGTTTATCAGTGTTACCAATTATATTCAGAGGCTCCTTACATGTTTTTAGCATGAAAAGAAATGAAAACAGCAATTTGTCAGTTTTCAGCTGTTTATGAAAGTTTTGATCTATTTGATGCTACCTTTCAACAGCTTGTGTCTCACTCACACCAGTCACACCTCAGATTCTGATGTTTTCCCCAGTATACTACCTATAAAGTATTATGCTATGTGGCTTCATATTTTCTACAAACCCATTGTCTTCAATAGTAAAATGTCCATTGTTTTGAGCTGCATCATCTGAAAGCATAATCAAAGTCCTAAGAGGCCTAGAGTGTATTTTCTTCCCAGCCGGCTGCCTTGAGACTAACGCCCACCTCTGCCTGTGTCCTCAAGTAGTGCCCCTTCTGTGACCAGTGAGTCCGCGGCCCGCCTGTGCCGTCCCTCTACCGCTATGCCGCGCACGGTGTCGGCCGCACAGCTGGCCGCGCTGCAGCGACACCCAGACCGCGTGCGCAACATCTGCATCCTGGCGCATGTCGACCACGGCAAGACGACGCTGGCTGACGCTCTGGTGGCCAGCAACGGCGTCATCTCGCCGCGGCTGGCCGGCCGGCTGCGCTACCTGGACAGCCGGCCCGACGAGCAGCGGCGCGGCATCACCATGAAGAGCTCGGCGATCGCGCTGCACCACACCGACCCGGCCGGCCAGCACCAGCTGGTGAACCTGATCGACTCGCCGGGCCACGTGGACTTTTCGTCGGAGGTGAGCACGGCGGTGCGGCTGTGCGACGGCGCGCTGGTGCTGGTGGACGTGGTGGAGGGCGTGTGCGCCCAGACGGAGGTGGTGCTGCGACAGGCCTGGACCGAGGGCATCCGGCCCGTGCTGGTGCTCAACAAGATCGACCGGCTGGTGCTGGAGCTGGGCCTGACGCCGCTCAGCGCGCACGTCCACCTGACGCAGGTACGGAATCGACGGGAACGATATGAGATTTGAGAATTAGAAAACAAACTTTCAATGTCAAAACGGCCATAACCATATCTTCGGAAAATGTGAAAGCTTTTATCCGTAACGAACTCGTAGCTTTTTTTAATCGTAAATTCATTGAAAGTTTTGACATTAAAAGTTTGATTACTAACATACCTGTAGGTGAAACAGTTAACATAGCGATCAACTCTCTCTTCAGCCAGACTGACAGCGTCAGTTGCATCTCTCGGAAACTATTCCGCTCAATGTAAGAATTAGAAACACACGGGTGTTTCGCCGGTTCTGCTTCATAGTAGACATTTGATGCTGGCTTTTTACGTTTAGTTTGTCTTGGAATTCCGTGACCGTGCCTATACAATTACTTGATTATCGTGACTCATGCAATATCGTATACATGACTGAAGAATACACTTCTATTTCGGCGAGCAGATGAGTGGGCCGAAGATATGTTCGATGCGTGTTGTCTGACTATGACCGTCCGCCGTCCGTCAGGTGCTGGAACAGGTGAACGCCGTCATGGCTGAGCTGTTCACCACTGAGTTCCTGGAGCGGCCGGCCGCCGCGCCGCGGCCCGACCCCTCCCCGGCCGACGCCGAACAGGACCCGGCCACCCGAGACGTGTCCGACTGGTCCACCGGCCTCGAGGACGCCGACGACTCGAGCGTCTACTTCTCACCAGATGCCGGCAACGTGCTCTTCGCCAGCGCCTACGACGGCTGGGGCTTCGGCATCCGCCACTTCAGCCGCATCTACAGCGAGAAACTCGGCATCCGCGAAGAGGTACTCAACAAGACGCTCTGGGGAGACTTCTACCTCAACGCCAAGACCAAGCGGATCATGAAGGGCGCCCAGGAGAAGGCCAAGGTGCCGCTGTTTGTCCAGTTCATCCTGCAGAACGTGTGGGCCGCGTACGAGGCGATCGCCGTGCGCCGCGATAAAGATATGACCGAGAAGATAATCTCCAGGCTGAAGCTGACCGTGTCGCCGCGAGACATGCGCTCGACCGACCCGCGCGTCCAGCTACAGGCTGTGTTCTCGCAGTGGCTGCCGCTGGCGCCGGCTGTGCTCGATATGGTGGTGGCGCGCCTCCCGGCCGCGTCCAGTCTCTCCGAGGAGCGCGCCGAGCGCCTGCTGGCTGGCCGCGGCGTTGAGTTCGACCAGCTGCCGGACGAGACCCGCGCGCTGCGCGAGCTCTTCACGCGCTGTGACGCCGCCGAGGAAGCCCCCGTGATCGTGTTTGTGTCCAAGATGGTGGCCGTGGACCGGAGCGAGCTGCCGGAGAATCGCGCCCGTCCGCTGACTGCTGAGGAGATGGAGCGCCGCCGCGAGGAGGCACGCCGCAGACACGCGGAGCGGGCAGCCGCCGCCGCAGCCGCAGCAGCCGAGGGAACGCCCGACAACGACGCATCGGCGGGCGTGCCGCTGTCGGAGGAGCAGGTAGCGGCGCTGCGCCAGTCGGCCGCCGCCGCTGAGCAGACCCCCGAGCCGGCCGCCGCCGACCCCAAGGAAGTGTTTGTGGCGTTCGCGCGCGTGTTCTCCGGCACACTGCGACCCGGCCGGCGACTGCTGGTGCTGGGACCCAAACACGATCCTGCCGCTGCGCTGCAGGAGCTGGCAGCGGCCGGTGCGGTGGCCACGGCCGCCTCCCTGGCCGAGCTGGCGGCCGGACAGCACATCACTGAGTGCACGGTGGGCCCGCTCTACCTGCTGATGGGCCGCGCTCTGGAGGAACTCACCGAGGCGCCGGCCGGCTGCGTGGTCGGCATCGGCGGCCTGGCAGACCACGTCCTGAAGTCAGCCACACTCGCCTCCACGCCGGCGTGCCCCGCCTTCTCGGAACTTAGCTCTGCCGTAGTGCCGATCGTGCGCGTGGCCGTGGAGCCGGCGCGGCCGGCCGACCTGCCGCGACTGGTGGCCGGACTGCGGCTGCTGAACCAGGCGGACGGCTGCGTGCGAGTCACCGTGCAGGAGAGCGGCGAGCACGTGCTCACCACGGCTGGTGAGGTGCACCTGCAGCGCTGTCTGGACGATCTCCGAGAGCGGTTCGCCGGCGTTGAAATCAATGCCTCCGAGCCGATCGTGCCGTTCCGAGAGACAATCGTCGAGCCGCCCAAGACGGACATGGTGAATGAGGCGATCGAGGAGCGGGCCGAGGACCCGGAGTCGACGGGGGGACTGGTGGAGGTCACCACGCCGGGCCGACGCGCCGTGCTGGCCGTGCGCGCCGTGCCGCTGCCGACAGAAGCCACCGAGCTGCTGGACGCGAACGCCGAGCTGCTGGCGAGTCTGCTGCGGCGGCGGCAGCGGGAGACTGCAGAGACGGACGCCGCCGCCGGCCGGCTGCGTCAGCTCTCCGAGTCGGCCGCGGACGGAGAGGCCGACGGCGAGCCCGAGAAGAGCGAGACGGAGCTGAGCGAGAAGAACCGCCGCGAGCTGCACGAGCTGCTGGGCCGCGAGCAGCGCGCTGCGCCGGCAGCGGCGGCCGTGAGCTGGAGCCGCGCGCGCCGCTGCCGAGACGAGCTGCGCCGCCGGCTGGCCGCCGCAGACAGCCCGCTGGTGCCACTCGTGGACCGCGTGTGGAGCTTCGGACCGCGCCGCTGCGGGCCGAACCTGCTCATCAACGCGACCTCCGAGTATAGCCGGCCGTCGGTGTGGGAGCCGTCGGCTGAGGGGGCCAGTGATCCCACCGGTCCGATGGCTGCCTTCGACGACAGCGTGGTGCACGGCTTTCAGCTGGCGACGGCGGCCGGCCCGCTATGCGAGGAGCCGATGCGCGGCGTCTGTTTCCTGGTGGAGTCCCTGACCCTGCAGCCTGCGGACGAGGAGGACGGTGTGGGCGCGCACGGTCCGCTCAGCGGCCAGATCATGTCGGCGGTGTCGACCGCGTGTCGGCGGGCGTTCCAAGCGCAGCCGCAGCGCCTAATGGCGGCCATGTACCGCTGCCAGGTGCAGGTGACCGGCCAGGCGCTGGGCCGCATGTACTCGGTCATCGGCCGGCGCGGCGGACGGATACTGCACGGAGACCGCAACGAGGGCTCGCACAGCTTCAGCGTCACCGCCTACGTACCGGTGGTGGAGAGCTTCCGTCTGGCGCAGGAGCTGCGGAAGGGGACGTCGGGTCTGGCGCTGCCGCAGCTCGTGTTCAGCCACTGGGAGACGCTCGACACGGACCCGTTCTGGGTGCCCACCACCGAGGAGGAGTACCTGCTCTACGGACAGAAGGCAGACACAGAGAACGCCGCGCGGCGACACATGAACGCCGTGCGCAGGCGCAAGGGGCTCGCCGTCGACGAGAAGATTGTGGAGTTTGGAGAGAAACAGCGGACACTAGCCAGGAAAAAATAGGCGCGGAATGGGCGGCAATAACAATCAGGAGGTGGGAGTCAGGGAGGGATTGGTAAATCGTTTTATCCGCCGCCAGGGCCGTCTAGGGGCCACTGCCGAGCGTGATGTTTTCGTGCCTTGGTCAACACCGGGGCGGGTTTCGATTGTGATGTCACTGTGACCGTCCCGGGATCAGCCAGGCGGGAATGATTTTACGAAAGTGGTTTGTTGTTGTTGGGGCCTACCTCGATGGATCGCATCGTCTATTTAATATACGGTGACAGAGAAGCGTTCCCTTTCTATCTCGTTCCCAGTAAGTCCAGCGTTATTTGGTACGGAAAGGGAAAATGGATCATACACGTGAACGAATGCTTTCTGTTCCGAGGTGTTCCGAAGTCCCGAGGTGCGATGAGGACACTGCAGGCCTGGCGAACGGTCTTCACTCCCCTTTCAAAGTCAATGTCACCACCTGTCAATTGTATATTACGGAGGCGCCGCTGCCGGGTGCGACCGGCGCCCTCTGAGGCACCTTTCACGGTAGCTGAATCCCTGACAGACCGACACGGCCCGGCGGGCAGACCGACCAATCACTCTCTCACCGCCTCGGAATGATACGATGCCAGCGATTAAAGCACGGTGGTAGGGGACGCCACCGCAACGCCAGGCCTCATCGGCAGATTTGTGACACGTAGCCTATCATGGCGCTGCCTGCGGGCTACATACACGGGCCGCGGCGGGGGCAGCGCCCATCGGACACAACACACGCTAACGACACATTAACAACGGCCGATCTGCCGGCCTCTGTTGATCTCCTCAGCTGTCCGAGAGTCCACCGTAACAGGGGCCGTAACAGCGTAACACGTACAACAGTAACACGACATATACCAACACGGGCAGCGCAAACAATACACACATACACCACTGGCTGGAATTACACCGGGAATGCTCCCAATCAAAGGCCGCTGGACGGCACTGGTCCGCAGAGAAGGCCCGCTCTCATCAGACGCGCATCGCTCGGCAAAGGCACAGCTACGGCACTGGCTGGATTCGGTAGACGCACTCACTAGACATAATATATATCGGCAGGACTTGGGCTCTCAAACACACATAGACGTTCGTCGGATAATGGAAGGCACACGGGGCGGCAGAGGTTAGGACAATACGTACACATACACAAAATAATCATAGTGTTCTATCAATTGATCTTGGTTCCATTGTGACAAACTGGCAACAGGCATAGGCGGAAGACATGGGTAATATACACTGGGGGCCTGTATGGCGGCCCGGCAGGCGCGCTAACTCCGCTCCTCACAACGGAGTAATGTAGCCTCCTCAGTCATCCTGCGGGCTTCTGCACCGCACACGCACACACGCAGTCCGCTGCACACGTCTCCAGCTCGGTTGGAATGCACTCGGATTGCCCGCTCCCTCGCTCACTTTCACGTTCGTGTGACCCTTTCACTTTGATTGCCCGGTCACCGCGATCGCCATAATCCACGAACGCTTCCTCTTAGGTCCAGCGAACGGGATGTGGACCCGGAATGAACCGCGACACTGCACTGCCGCCACTGACCGATCATCGAGCCACTGTAAACCACGCCTTGTCGGCTGACAGCCGACGTCAAGTCCAGCCTGACGTCTTCACTCAATTATCCGGCCTTAGCTAGACATTCTAGCTACCGTAACTTTCGGTCGTCTCTCGGCTTCCGCGCCGGGTCACAGCTGTCAGTCTGCTGGCCATGCGATTGCAGCGGGCCGGTCACCACTGGGCGGCGACGCGGCACGGCGGTCGGCGCTATAGTTTGTTGCGCTGTGGCGCTGTACTCCACACGCAGCCGGCCTAGTTGGCCACCACGTAGTTGGCCGGGTAGAGTCCCACCTTGCCGTCCTTGCGGCCCTTACACCAGCCCTGTTCGTCCTCGTCCTCCAGCTTGTCGAACGTGTCGCCTGCGAACAGATGGAGCTCGGTCATATTCGGAGAACGATGGTAATATTACAGGCGCGTCAGCTGCCAGTGGCGCGCAACAAAGCCGTATCTTCGACATCCTTAAAAATACCGATATGAAGATTTGTTAACTCTTGATTCAGTAAATTATTTTTTTTTTAAGATGCGTAATGATCCGATAAAAGCACAAGGTGACGACCAAGCTATGCACAAAGGAAGCTCTCTAGAATCTTCGCAAATGATTAACACCGGACAATCAATGTGCAGGACGTAGCCTACGGTACGAACCACCACGTCACCCTTCTAATCCACCGGCCGGGATCTCTCACCGGCTTTGAAGGAGAGCTCGTCGGCCTCGACGCCCTCGTAATCGTAGACGGCTCGGACGGGCACGCCCGGCTCGCCGCTGTCCACCAGGTCCGTCGAGTACTCGTCCCACTCGGACGGGCCGCCGGCCGGCTCGTCGAAACCGTTACCGTTGCTGGTGAGAGACGGGGAGGCGAAGGTCAGAAGTGGAGACACTCGTAGCGGTCAGGTAGGGAGACATGGGGCAGGTACACTGACGTAGAAAGACTGATGCATGGTCAGATTACAGCTAATGCCAAAACAAGATATTGTTAGAACGGAAATGTAGCGGGCAGATATCAGGAATTGGAACACACGGCAAAACAAAACTAGGATAGCGTTCAGACGAGGAAAGGAGAGAATCCAATACGCAAACGGCCGCATGTCAAACCTCGAGGCCTCCTGTTTATCATAACCAGCCGTCAGGCCATCGAAAAAAAAGACTGTCATCAACCATGACTACAATGCGTACAATCAAATCAAACTTCTGGTGTTTGTCTACGTGTTTACGTTACCATACTTCCACAAGCAGAAAGTTCCCTGTCACGTCTGATCTATCAATTCACCTGTGCTGCGAGCTGCGGCTGGCGCCGGCGTCGCTGGTCCCTGTCCGACCGTCCGAGGAGCCCGTCTGACTCGTCTGCCGGCCCGTCGGCTTCTTTGAGTTGCGTGTCGCCGGGTTGTAGTCCTGCCAGGGCCAAAGGTCGGCGCCTTGGGTCAGGTCGGGGCAAAATAGGGTTACGGTACTCAAAAGCGCAATACAGGAAGCTTGCTAACAGGATACAAGCATGGCTATTCAATAGTGAGGACACAAATCCTTACAGATTGATCAAGAATAAATAAAGTTTAAATCCTTGCAGACTGATCAAGACTAACCAATGTCGTTAAGCTCATAAATTCGTGAGCATGTTACAGACTTCCATGCAGGCGTCTTTCGCATATTTCTTGGAATGACAGCTGTCAAGTACGGTCGCTGTTCCCAGGTTGATAATTAGGACATCCAACGATGCAACACGCCTGGTTCAAGTAGACCTTGGCCCAATGGTGCCGCGAGGAACAATTGTTGATAAACCACGCATACGAGGCGCAGTGTGATGTGAGGTGCTGATTTTGCAGCAATAACAGCTCAAAGCATCACGCGGCCTTCAATATCGCTTTCCGTGATCAGTGCACGCTCGGCCCGTGATCGCAAACAACAGAGGCCAATGGTGACTTCCCCGTCCAGCTAGTATAAAATGAGAACACAACACACCATCAGCACTCAGCAGTGTCTAGGTGCTCTACCAGTGCGCTACCCAACCACCAGACCAAGTCAAACAGCCCCGACTGTGTGATAAATCAGCTCAGCTCAGCTCAGCTCAGCACCGAACCATGCTGCGCTGGTGTCTGGTGCTGCTGCTCGCGGCTGTCGGCGTGTCCGGCTACCAGGACATCAGCCGGTGCACCTACTTCTGCCGCACGTCCGACGGCCGGTTCTTCTGCTGTCACAGCGGCGACCAGGGCGCCCACCGGCCGGTGGTGCACCCGGGACGGTGTCCCCCGGTGCGCCCCCAGTGCCCGCCCTCCCGGCAGCGCCCCCGCACCTGCGCACACGACGGCGACTGTCCCCGCAGCAGCAAGTGCTGCTACGATACCTGCCTCGAGTGGACCGTCTGCAAGCCGGCGCTCGGATTCAGCGAGGGGTAAGACCCCGACGTGAGGCATTGGTGGGGCCCACACGAGTAAACAATGTGACAATATTACGCTCACTTCAGCGAAGAAGCTAACAATTTTCAACGTATTGTCCTTCGAGACATATTTATTGTCGTAAGGATCCAGCAAACCACTTGTCAAAAAAGTTGGAATGCTAGTGACGACCTGGTAAGAGCAAAGCACAGCTGCGTTCATGAGGAAATATTAAGCTCATAAACCCTTGAACAGTTGACAAATGAACACTCCTTTTCAGCATCATCGAGTTTGAAGAATTTCGGTTTCCCTATCGGAAGCGCGGCTAGGCAGAGGGCGGTCGTGAGGCTACGAGCGGCCACTCCATCCACCCCGGTGCCGGGGACTGTCAGAGAACCCGGCGACAGCTCAACTTACGCGTAGGGACCGAGTCGCCCATAGCCGCGTCCTCAGCTCATCTTGACTCAGGCAATGCTCGCTGCGTGACAGCACAGCGTCACTGCCCAGTACCGCAACCAGCTAGCAGGCGGGCTCAGTCGTTCCCGAAAAGATGGTGAAAGCTCGGGGGTGATTGCAGAATGTATCTGCTTCTCACGAGACCACAAAATACGCGCTATATTGCATGCTCATTGCTCACCGATGCTGTAAAGTTGGCTCGCTGCGACGCGCAATGCGCGAATGATGGTGAGCTGCCAGCTGGTTTGCGCATCACAATAAACCTACGTGTGCTGTCAGCCCGTCCTTTGGACGCGTCCGTTGTGTACTTTTGAACGCCTGAGTCGAGTCGCAACTCGGCAGATCGACGTGGCGGATAAGGGTGCACACTGCACAGACCACGAACTTCGAACTTTGAGAGCCAAGGCTCCATCCAAGCGTCACTTCATTGCCATTCAACTGAAATCTCGTGCGGTGGGCGTTTGTTAGCGAGCACAAAGTAATCACTCAGCAGATCAAACAAATTATTCTGGCATTATCAAGCAATTCTGGCAAGACCAATGCACAAAATTAGCAGCAAGATGCCTGTTTGATTAAATATGTCGCAGCATGCAATTGTTAGCCAAAACTTAACTGACCTGAATAATAAAATGCAAATGAAGTTAAAAATAAAAACGAGTAAGTGATGGACAAAGTGCGTTTGGCGTGCCGGATTGGCGTGAAGTCAATGAGAGAAAGATAAAAAAGCGCAGAATAAGTGAAACGGCGTGATAGCGGGAACAAAATAAATGGACAGAATGGGTGAAATGACAGTGGATAATGAGGCAGTGGGTAAAATTGACTATGGAAATGTGTGAAAGAGGCATGCAGTCCCACAACTAAACAAAATAAGACTAATCAATGTGAAGAGGAACACACAGACTAGTTAATACCAGAGAGCGATGCGATTAGGTGCCGGATTGGTGCAGGACTAGTGCTGGAGATCGGTATTAGCTAACGCAGGCCTGTGCGAGAGTTGAGGGCCGAATTTAGGTGCCAGGGCGGGGTCGGAGCTGTCGTGGTTGCCATGCGTTTGGTGACTGGGCTGAATATCGTGTTAGGTGTCTTGTGTTAGGGGCTGGGACTGGTGCGGGGATTCTATGCTCGGGGTTCGGTGCGGGGTTTGTGCGAAGTTTGTGTCCCGGGGTTAGGTGCCGGTGCTGCCGGGACCCGGGGTTCTCCGTACGGGCAGGTCGTCGCTGACGGTCCGCTGGTTGATGAGCGTGATGTTGCCGTCCGCGATCAGGCCCTTCTTGCTCTTGGCGGCGGCGATGTCCCGGAACTCCTCGCTGTATTCCTGCGGCAGAGGGGGCCGGACGGCGGCCGGGGGGTCGGACCGGGGCGGCAGAGGCCGGACGAGCGGCGGTCTCAGTACAGCGGGCGCCGCCGGTGTCACTAGCAGGGCCGGCGGGAGACAGAGGCATGGTGGGCTAGTGGCTGGAGCCAAGGTATACTATACAATGGTAGCTTTACAGACAGTCAATCTGTGTAGATAAGACACTCTGTCTGATCAATTAGAGTAATACCAGAACGTTCTCCAGTCTAGCCGAGCCCATCCGTGCCGCCGCCTCCCTCCATCATCCCTCATCCACGGAGCGCAGCAGGCCGAGCGTACAGACAGCATGCCTATGGGTCAGCGCGTCCGCGGCGGACCGATACATACACTGGCAGAGCATACAGGGGGCGGGCCGGTCGGCGGCCGGGCCAGCCTCGCCGCCATTCAGGAGCGGGCGTCCGGCCGACCAGAGACTATTAGCGGGACCTACCTCGAACGCCGGCCAGTTCATGGGCATGTTGACGCCGTGGTTGTTGCTCCACCAGCGCAGGTCCTTCTCCTTGTCAGCGTTGGCAATCGTGTGCTCGAACTCGCGGTAGATCTGTGGTAGTCTGTGAGGAAGAAAGAACGCGAAATTAGGCCAGAATCGCAGCCGGATGCCCACGTGCGTGCTGCAGCTTAACTCTATCCTCGGAGGGAGCAGAACGGACGGGTGGAGGGAGAGAGAGCGGTGGACTTTACACCCGGACATCAGGACTCTAGCGACAAGGGTGATATACCGCCCGTATCGCGCGGGCTGAGTAAGCCGTGACACCGCAGCGTTAAACTATCGGGCGGCGGTCGGGCCCGTTCACAATGACCGAGTGTTACTCGGCCATAAATCGATCGCCAAATGTGACGGGTAATCGCAGATCACCAGCTGTGAATAGTGGTATTGTTATGTGATAGATGAGCTAATAATAGACGCAGGAGGAAGCTGGACTACTCTCCATTCTTGGCGCAGGATAAACAATGGCCGTTGCAGAGTATCCGCTCGATGGAGACCGTTAGTTTCCACCGACAGCTGATTAACTGATCACTCGTACGAGCGGCACGTACTCAGTAAAACCGCAGCAATAACCGTTACAGCTCACTCACTCTCAGACCGCATACCAGAACAATCAAACAATCTATAACGTGCCAATAAACCGTCCGAACAGCCGCACGAAACACACGAACGAAGCCGCTAACGGTGCCTCCACACCCAAACCCACCGTTTTGCCGGCCCGGCGCCTCCCTCTTCCGCCCGTAACCCTCCTCTCCCAACACTCACATGGGGTCTGCCGAGATGTTAAGACACTTCTGCAGGATGAACATGGTGTCCTTGAAGAAGAGCAGCCGCTCGGCCTCCCTGTCCTGGCACTTGTTGAACACCTGTGTCATGTCCTCGATGTAGCGCGGGTTCTGCTCCGAGATGTCTCTGAGCGCCATCTCGTAGCGGTCCTTGGTGCGCGTCACGTCCTCCTTGGCCTTCTGCACGCGCTCCTGCTGCTTTTTCAGCTGCAGGAACAACAGGGGGAGGGTTGCAGTCAGCAATGAGGTCAGCACAGGTTAGTACAGACTGCAGTCCACCCTGCTTATTCAGCTGGAGGAGCGACAGGGGGAGGGCTACGGTCAGCAATGGGGCTGGCACAGATCAACACACGCTCGCTCTGCTACTTCATCTGAGAGTCCATGATTTGGCTTATGCAGGTCACGCCAGGTCAGTCAGGGTCAAACAGATTAGCAAAATGTTTGTGAGCCAGCAGCGGTAAATCAAGGCAAAATTGGTCAAGTAAAATACTGCAAAATTACTCCCATCCGTAAATTACTCCCTCCCGCCCTCAACAGCTTCATACAACACAACACCTTAGCAATTCGGCCGCAATGGCAGTGGGGTCATTTGCTCCACGGTCCGTAGCAGCGGAGTGCTATACGCATCTTTCTCTGTAACGGCGCCAGGTCAAGACACCAAACGGCGGCGGTGACCCGAAACGCCGGCTAAGGACCGCCGCCCTGTCCCCTCCTATGAACGTCTATTAGGCGCTAGCTTTTGTCTTGAGGTTGACGATACCTCCATCAAACCGTGGCGGCACCTCCGATGGACCTATACTGAGACGGCACTTCCTGTTCTGAAGACGCCTGCAACTCTACTTGGAGTAGTAGCTGGCGGCATTAGTACTGAACACAGTTGACCTTTCTCCCGAAGACGGTAGCATCTCTACTGAAAGCGTGCCATCTCTACCGAAGAGGACGGCGTCTCTACTGAAGACGGTGGCGCCCTTACTAATGTCGGTCACACAGAGCGAGCGTCAGATATGAATTATCCCATTGCCGGTCTGTGCACGCTAGCATGGTCCTGCTGTGAGCTACTGCAGGGCACAGTGCACGCGCCACGGTCAGCCCAGCGGGTGGGGGAGGGGACCAGTGACCAACATGCGAAAGCGGACAGGGAGGGGGAGTGTGATGGAGTGAGAGAGGGACATCAGAACGCACTCAGGTGCGCAGCGGGAGCGGCACTGAACGGCAGTAATGTCTACACTACGGCTAGGTGGGGGAGGCTGCAGCACGGTGCTTTATGAATATGGAAAACAGTCCGGTCGTCAAATATGTACACTTTGCAGAGTACGCATCCGTAACAAATGACCGCCCATTACAACCCAGGCTGCCTCGTCATAACCCACGGCTGGAGCTGATGGTATTTTGATGTTGCTGTAACACAAAAATTTGCTTTAAAGTCGGTTCAACCCGCTGTATTTAGTCATGGACACGGTCTAGGATTTCCGCCGTCAGCGTCAAAATCTGCAAGCCCAGAGGCCTATCAACGGTCCGCTCACAGTCCAAAGGTCAGTTCACAATCAAAGGTCAGTTCACAGCTCGGGCCCAATGCCCACGTAGTCCGTGTGGGAGCTCTGGGCAGGGTCCAGCCACTGCTCCCGCTGCCAGCTCCGTACGACCCGGCCACCCCACCGGCGCCCGGCCGTCGCGCGGCTGATCCCGTGCGCGGTATGCTAATTCTCCATTGTGAATCGCCACCCGGCCGGCCGAGTGCGCTGGCGGCACGTGACCGTGTGGTGCGCCGCGCTCACCCGCTGCAGGGTTCGACAGCCGCTCTGCAGTGGGCGCCGGAACTGGCGAGGTCGTACCTACCGCGGCGGCCCGCTGAGGATCCCCAGAGCCGCGCAGCCAGGTCAACAGGGCACGCCGGTCGACCATTTACAGATAACCTATCAAACACTTATCGGGATTTGCGAAATTCCCTATCTGGCGATCGCCACATAAGGTGGCGTGATTTACTGTCAGTTCGATAGCTCACAATGGTGTCACTATCTGGTGAAGTGTGTCATGGAGATGGAGCTGCCTTGTGTAGCGCCAGCGATATAGGTGCGGTATCGGCAAAGATAGTCCATATAGAGGCGGCTATTCACTGAGGACCAACGCTCGCGACCTTCCCGTGTGGATTTAAAGGACTATTAGCTATCAGAGGGATGGGCGGAAGGTGAAATGTGTCATCACTGTACTGCAATGATAGTCAGTGCCCGATATATGTGGATATGCGCGGTGACCTTCCGAGCTCATTGTCATGAGCTCCAGTGAATATAAAATGCTATAATATGAGTGAATATACAATGCTATATAAATATACAATGTTATATAATGAATGCTATATAGTGAATATATTGCACGGTAAAGAGGAGAGACAGGGTAAAATAATAAACCTAATTACAAACGAGAGTCGGGTAAAGAAAAACGAAAGCATGAAGGACGGACAGAACGGAGGAGGATACACCGTTAGAACAGGGTAAGGACGGATAAAAAGTGAAAGCACGGATTGAAAAGAGAGGAAGAA